CCCTGATTTGGGGGTGAGGGAGAATTGGGTGAAGTCACTGAGTGTCTCTAAGGGGGTGGGAGCTATTGAAGAGTGAGGTCAATGCAGGTGGGGGTGTCTGAGCATTGTCTCCAGGGTTGGGCATTGCTTTGGGAGCAGCCCCAAAGCTGTTGGTACCTGGTAGAGGGAGTAGCAGTGGATATGTTTGTGGGGCCTGAGAAGCATAAGAGATTATGCCACTCCACCCTGCATTGGAAATGCAGAGTTTTGACAGTCTGAAGAGGGTTGAAGGGTAAGAGTTTGGTTGCAGAGCCAACTAGGGACCATGGTGATGGAGTGGGCGAAGTTGGGGTTGGGAAAGTTTCTGGTGAGACATAGAGATGCCTGGGGGGTCAAGGAGCGTCTGAGTGGAGACAGAGCTTCTAATCCTAGAGTGGGTTGGCAGTGAGAAGTATATAGAATTGGTTGACTCTTTTTGGAGATTAATAAGCTCCTGTTGTATGGAGCAGATAAGGGTGATTTGCACAGTTGTTAACTGAATGAGGGGTGCCCATGCTAGAGGTGTAAGAATTAAGGTGGGAAAGGAGGTGAGAGGGGTGTGTGAGTGGAGCTGCTGGACAGTCATGGAACACTGGATGCAGTGCTTGAGATCAGCTGAAAGGGTGGCATTGGGTTTGTGTAGAAATGCAGAACTAGCAGTGAGAGAACAGAGAAGAGTTGCTTTTTTTTCAGCAACCTTTGTGTGTGGTTGACAGGTGGGCCCCAGCTGGTGGGAGAGATAGCAGAAACAAAAGAAGACATAAGCAGAAGATGAAGAAGGAAATCAGGATTGGAGAAAAGTCCTGGAAGTCTCTGTGGAACCATAGTTATCATATGAGGTAGAGGAGGCCAGAGGGGTAGAGGTGGGATACCAGCGGTGGGGGGAGATAGATATTATCTGCAGGATAGTATAAAAATGGTTCAAAATGGCCTAGGGTCAGAAGCATGGATGAGTAGGATGTCTCAGTGATCCTGGTGGACCCAATGTGGTTGCCCTTTAACCTGAGCCATGATGGCCATAGTCAAAATCATCTGGTGTGTCTCTTGCCATTTTGGTTTTAGTGGTGTTGAGGAATTGCCAATCCAGACTTAATCTCCTGGTTGTATGACTGGAGACTGAGCTGGAAGGTCAGAGGAAGATTTAGCAAGATTACTGTTAGCATATTGTCTAAGTTGTTGCCAGGAAAGGTGGAGAGTAGGTGAGATATCCCCTCGCTGGAGGAAGCGAGATAAAGTATGGGGTATGTGATGGTGAAGGTCAAAAGGATGGCCATAGAGCAGTTCCAAGGGAGTAAGAGCTAGCCGTTTTCTGGGAAGGAATCTGAGGCAGGTGAGAGCTATAGGCAAGAGAGAAGGCCAGACTAGTTTAAATGCAGGGTAACATGATTCTCTGCATAAAATTCAAGGTCTTCATGAAGAAGAGGCTGGATTTTGAGTGGGGCCTTGAGTGATTTCCCTTAATTTATTGAAGTTACTAGGTTTAATCAGAGCCCTACTTATGCCTTCCAAGAGACATGTGATCCTATGGTCTCTTTGATCTCTGCCCACAAGTCACCCAACCTTGGAGCCTTTCTCACTTCACCAAGTTCTCACTGAGGTCTGGGACACTACTCTCCCTGGACATTTGCTTTCTGCAATATCAGGATCATTTCCTGGTAGTCCATCTAGGATCCTCTTTTGGGAGACCATTTATCCCAGAGGGATTGCGAGGATTTTGAGTATGACCCTTGTTAGCCTAAGCTTCAGCTAGTGACCAAATTCAAGACTTTTCATCACGGATACAAAAAATGTTTAGGAAAACCCTGATGTTATGCCAGTGAAGATCAAAGGATACTGTCAGCGTTTGGAGTTCCTTAATAATGGTGGAGGAGTCTTGGCTGAAAGAGCTAAGCCTGGCTGAGAGCTTATGCAGATCAGCCACAGGAAAGCAATAGTATACCCGGATTGTCCCTAGTCCCCCTTTTGCAGCTTCACAGAGATGGTAAAGTCCTTTTTTACCTTTACCCTGTTGTGGAATATTTAACATTTGTCCTGACCTGGTATGTGCAGGCGACAGAAGGTCAGACAGTTATCCCCACAAGTAGGATGACCCTGAGGGATCAGAATGAGAAAGGCTTAAGGGAAGGGCAAGTTGCTCCTGGAACAAGGGGAGGACTAGAAGGAAGATCAGATTATGCAGATGGGGCCGAGGGATCATCTAGAATATCAGGGGAATCTTCAGTTTCAGACCCTCTTGACTTCCCATTCACAGGTCCGGATTCTGAGAGGGGGCATGAAGGCCTGCACAGAAGTAACCTCAGACCATTTGGAGGAATTATGGTCGCAAAGATCAAGTAGAAAATTCCAAAAGACAGAGGGAGTGGTGGCTGTGACTGGGGATGTAGCACAGTGGCAGAGCAGTTAGCCTAGCATGCATAAAGCCCTGGTTCCATCCCCACCACCAATTTTTTTTTAAAAAAAAGGAATGATGATTGCAAGAATGGAGAGGAAAATGGGGTGTTATTGTTTAATGGGTATAAAGTTTCAGTTTTACTTGGCTGCAGGCCTAGCTCAGTGGTAGAGTTCTGGCCTATCATGCATGAGGGCTTTGACTTAGACAGGACCAGTGAGAGAAAAATGTTTTAAAAAGAGTTGTGGAGGTGGACGGTGGTGATGGATGCACATTATGGACATGTGGTCTTGGGCCTCATGGCAATGTTTCTGCCAACATAGACCACTTACACCACAGCGGACCCTTAGATTAGAATTGAGTAGAAAGAATATGACTGCCTAGAGATGTGGCAGTCATCCTAAGGGTGTAGTGCAAATGGATTATTCACCTGATGTTTTCCTTAACAGATTATGCTGCTAGTCATGCAAAAGTATAGCATGTACAATTATGTACAGTACATAATAGGTGACAATGACAAAAGACTATATTGCTGGTTTATGTGTTTACTATATTGCACTCATTGTCACCTTAGAATATACTTCTGTAAGAGGTGCTTATATTGCTTTTCCTGAAAAGCACTGACTCCTTACTGTCAGGGATTTGTGAGCCCCAGGTTGATAAAAGAATTTATCAAGGTAGAGAGTGGGAGAAAACAAAGACTTTTTAGGACCCATTAAAAGGGGAGATGATGGTGGGCAATTAGGCAAAAGAGCATAACACCTTAGGAGAGGGTTGAGAAAAGTTTTATACCTTGGGGACAGACCACTTTTGATTGGCTATGTCTTTTTTTGCAGACCTTACTGATGGTCTCTTCCTCAATAATGGTTTGAATTTTGTGTAAAGGGGAATATCTCTGCAAGCTTAGTTCTATTTCCCTGTTCCATTTGGGCCCCTCAGCATCTCCATCTGATTTCTTGATATTCCTTTCTCTGCCACTTTCCCTTAAAATGGAGGCCTCCTTCATATCCCCCTGACAGAACAACAAAACCAATCCTGATTTTAGTGGGGAGAATTTCTTATCTTCTTGTAACTGCTTTGAGCCGGGAAGTGTGGTAGAGATGTCCCTGCTTAAGTACTTTTTGTTCTGGCAGAGGCTGATGAAGCAGTCTATAGGGATATGACAGGTTCTAATTGAACTTGGAAAAAAATTGTATGGAAGCCTGGTCCAGGAGGGTAAAAGGCACTGGGGGCTTTAAGTGGTATCCACCTCCCTTTGTGGTAGAATATGTGCTTTCTGGCACGTACACAATTTTTACCCATTTCCTCATTCTGTCTTGATTTACCCTTCCCAGTTTAAGTTCCCTTATCAGTTGGCCTTCCCCCAACATCTGCAATCCATGTAGTAGCATCATTTGTTACTTTATGCCTAGAGTTGAGAAGAAACAAATATGATTAGAGTATTAATGAGGCAAGGACCAATGGCAAAAAGGAATAAAATAGATATTAGAGGTCCCAAGAAAGAGGAAAGCCAGGATAACATTGTCATATATTTTCCCATGAGAGCCATCCTTGGGTGACTTCTCCAATTTGAGAGGCTCGGTGGGTTAGTTTGTGAATGTTACTTTGAACTTGTCTTGCTCTATTGCCCAAAAGCAACGGTCTTCTCCAAGCATAGCATAGGTTCTCTGCTGGGTAGCAGTAAGCATATCAAAGGACTTCCTGTTTTGTAAGAACACTGCAGCTGAAGAGTTGAATTATTTCCTTACCTCATCAATGTGGATTAATCTAGGGTATCTAAAACATTGTCTATCTCAAGTGACTAAGTTTTGTAAACCAGGCAAGAGGTTTACAAAATTCCTTCAATTCCAGCCTGTACTCCTGATGTAATCCCTAAGCCTGTTATGAATATCTTGAGTTGAGTGCCTCTTTGGTTCTTTTGGTACTTGGGTTTGAACTTGAGCCACACAACCAACCTCTCTTTCATTCTTAAAAGGTTTGGTGTTAATACATAGGTAGGGTATCTGAGTGTCTCCTGGGGCTCTGGAAATGGCACGGGATAGATTTGTGAGCGTGCATGTTCCTGTCCAGTCTGAAGGCAGAGAGATATGTGCTTGTCTGAATAGATGTGTTTGTAATGTGCAGTATACTGAAGGAAGTAAGTTATGTGCCACAGAAAGACATTCCCATTAGAACTTCCCAGAATACAGTATTCAGCTGTCCATGTGACAGCAGCCAAGGAGGCTAAGCATGGATTTTGAGGGTGAATGAGGTGAAGCAGTTTTATTTTCCCAGAAAAGCATGGCCTTCTACTGATCTACTCAGAGGTTGAAGGAAAGGGAGAAGAGTCCCCTAACTCACATCCCCTGTATGCCATTGTCATTTTACTTGTGCTTGTCATTTTAGAGGTACAAGAAGCTTGACATGCATTCCATAAGGTATCCTAGACAGAGCTGAGAAGTTTGGTAAGTCTGTGAGTAGAGAAATATCTCGAGTAGAAGAAAACCTGACCTGGTTGGAGGACACTAGATTTTAGGTGAAGAAATTCCACGTTTGTCTTCAATAGTTACAGTCCCAGTGCAAAGGTTATTGGATAGGGTTCACATTTGAGTCCTATAAGGGCATTCAGTCTTGATGCAGATGGGAGCTGGATCTATAAGTTCTATAGAGTTAAATAGAGGGCCTAACATTGGGGGAGTTTCCTAGAAGTAAACAGAAAAGGCTTGGTTAGGCTGGCTAAAGCAGTGTACAACTTCAATAGGGAGCCAATCAGCACAGGGTCCACAGTGATAGACAAAGGATGGTTCTGCTTCGGAGCTTGCCCATTCATAAGGATCAATAGGGTTTACCTTTCTAGAACCCAGAAGAGACAGAGTTTACATACAACAAACAGTAGCATAAGATGAGTTTGTATATTTTAGTAATCACATGGAGACTTTTCAGTGCCAGAATACAGGCATGAGGCAAAGTCAGTCTGTTTTTTTTGTATCAGAGGAAAAGAGGTTATAGTCACAAGTAGCATTTTATAGTAGAATTTGGAAGATGGGACTGAGGGAGGCAAAGGATTGGCCTGATCCCCATCAGGAATCCCCTGAAGAGGAGAAGCCCAAGGATGGGAGGCCCTCGGTGTTGAGGCCATGAGGTGAAGAGTTTCCCAAGGTGTAGACATGTAGCTTATAGAAAAATGGAGGAACTTCTGGCTGGAGGAGGAGGAGGGTTTCATGCCCCAGAAAGTCAGAGAAGTGACCCTGTAGAAAAGTTCTAGGATAAGGTCATGAATTTGAGACTAGGAGAGGTAAGTAGGCCGCTAGCGAGCACATTCCTGGAGAATAATGGAATAAATACGATGATAAAATGAGACAGGGTCCACAGAGGGTTATGGAGCAGAATCATCACCAGCTTGAGTGCATGGAAACTGCAGATGGACATCTTCCACATCTTCCCTGGGCTCACAGCTGTGACTGGAAGTCTGTGAGTCTTGGGATGGGGGTGCTGCCCTGTTCATGGGCATTTGAACCAGGGAGAAATGGCTGTAGGGGTGGTTAGAAGCACTTGATAGGGTTCTGTCCAGACATGGTTTAGGGACTCCTCATCTTCAGGAAGAGTTTTAAGATACACCCAATCTCCAGGCCCAAGGGATAAGTCTTCCTGGGAGTGTTCTGTTGGGTTTGGTTTGGGGTTCTTAGCATGCTGGCACTCGTGGACAGCTGACATGCTGAGTTAAACAGTGAACTTTGGGGTCCAGTAAGATAACTGTTTGAAGGAATGGCCATATAATTCCTGAGAACTCATGTGGGATTTTGTCTTTGTTGTGATCTGGGCTCGAAGAAGTGCTATTGGGAGCAGGTGTGTCAGGAAATTTGAGTCTCCTGCATTAGTTTATTTAAATGATTTTTAGGGTATGCTTAGCTCTTTCTACTTTTCCTGAGGAGTGGGGATGCCAGGCAGCATTTGGGTATATATAGTTTAATTTGAAGAGCCTGATGGACTCCCTGAGAACCTGTGATAGTGAGGTGTGGCCATGACCTTATTGAAGAGACAGAGTCCAAAAGAGGATGTTCTGTGTTCAGTGAGAGCATTAATCACTTCTGAGGCTCTTTCTGCTTGGGGAAGAAAAACCTCCACCCTCTGAAAGTATCCACAAAAATAAGCAGGTATTCGAGGCCCTAACAAAGTGGCATATAGGTGAAGTCTCATTGCCATTCTTTCCCTTGCCTCTGAATAGGTCGCAGGTCAGGTGGGTTTTTTGTTCTCCCTCATTGTTAGTGCAATAGCAGACAGGACAGGCTCTAGAGGTGGAGTTCTGAGTCTGTAGTATCCCTTCCCTTATGAAGGCATGTTTAAGGAGGTCATATAGGTTATTGTTTCCTAGATGGGTAGACTGATGAAGACCCAGTAAAACCTTCCATTGAGAGATTTCAGGCAGGAGGAGACTGTGGTATAGTCCCTGTAACCAACCTTTGGATATATGAGAATCCTTTGGTGATGACCTACCTCACTGATTTCCCTAGAGTTATATTCTTTTTTACAAAATTTTTCCCTAGAAATATGTTAGGGAGAAGCTTCCTGCAAGGTATCCTGGCTGCCTCCTTGACTTGTTTGTCTACCTGATTTTTACCCAAAGATATGTGATCTATGGCTTTTGGGTGGGCTCAGCAATGAATTATGGCTATCTGCATTGGAAGTTTGATAGCCTCTGGTGGGTTTATGATCTCAGGGGCATGTTTGACTGGGTGTTTACACACAGCCAACTGTTGGTAGCATATGATGAGTTTGTATATTTTAGTAATAACTGTGCAGCCCTTAAAGTGCCCAAGTATGAGTGTGAGATAAAAATAGTGTTTTTTTGTATGAGAGGGAAAGTGAATATAGTGAAAGTAGCATTTTATAGTAATGTTTGGGAGGGAGGCATAGAAATAGTCAGATGATTTACATCATGAATCCCCCAAGGAGGAGAATTCCGCTTTGTGTCGAGGTAGTGAGGTGAAGAAAGTGTCCCAAGGTGTAATCATGTGGCTACAGAAAAAATGGAAGAAACCTCTGGCTGGAGGAAGAGGATTTTGTGCCTGGAAAAGTCAGAGAAATCACCCCATAGCAAAAGATCTAAGATAAGGTCTTGAATTTGAGACTAGGAGAGGTTAGCAGGGGGCCAACAAGCAAGTTCCTAAAGAATAATGGAATAAATGAGGTGATACCACGAGACAGGATCCACACAAGGTTATGCAGCAGAATCGGCATCATCTGGAGTGCATGGAAACAGCAGATGGAGACCTCCTGCCAGCTCACAGTTGTGACCAGAAGTCAGTGAGTCTTCAGGTGGGGCGCTGTCCTGATTCCAGAGATACAAATCCAGGGAGAAGCACCTGGAAGTTTAAGTGTTGTAGGGGTGGTTAGTGTGAGAAATATGCACACCTGTCCAAACTCAAAGAATGGACTCAGAGACATGTGGGGTACAGTGGAAGAGAGACTTTAATGGTAGTCTTGCAAGATCGGGTGCCCAGGAAGCAGATAAACTCAAAACGATTACACCAAGCATTGCATTGTCTAGTGTCAAGTCCCTCCCCCAGGGCTGAGTACTATAGAGTGTACATTCGCCCCCTCCCCCCACTAATTGCCTAAATTTCCTATTGGGTTATATTAAAATATGCTTCTCTTGGGACTAATCAAATTTTAGAAGCAGGCTTTAAGTGGTTTCTGCCCCACTTTGTGGTGGAATATGTGCTTTTGGCATGTACACAGTTTTTATCCATTTCCTCATTCTCTCTTGATTTACCCTTCCCAGTTTAAGTTCTCTTATCAGTTGGTCCTCTCCAAACATCTGCAAGCTGATAAGCAAGCAAGTGACCATGGTTAAATGCCTTGTCTTGAAAATTGACCACCACTGACTCTTTAACAGTTAGAAACATTTATAGGGTCCTGTCCAGACAGGCTTTGAGGGTTCCTCTTGGGGAAGAATTTTAAGGTACATCCAATCTCTAGGCCCAAGTGATAAGTCTTCTGTTGGATCTGGTTTGGGGTTGGTTGTATGTTGGTACTCATGATAGCTCTGTTGGTTGTTCCTAGGGATATGACATACTGAATTAAATGGTGAGCTTCACAGTCCAATAAGAGATGTGTCTGAAGGAATGGCATGCTGTACAATACTTCCAAAGGACTAAGTATTTTTTTGGTGGTATTTGGGTTTGAACTCAGGGCCTCACACTTGCTTGCTGGGCAGGTTTTCTACTGCTTGAGCCACTCCACCATCCCTTTTTTGTGACGGGTTTTTCTGAGATAGGGTGTTCTGAACTATTTGCATGGGGCTGGCTTTGAACCTCAGTCCGCCGGATCTCTGCCTCCTGAGTAGTTAGGATTACAGACATGAGCCACCAGCATCTGGCAAAGGTGGGTTTTTTGTCTTTGGGTGATACAGGCTTGAAGAAGTGCTATTGGGGGCAGGGCGGGTCAGGATTGTTGTCTTCTGTATTAATTTAGTTAATTGTCTTTTAGGGTATTGTTAACTCTTTCTACTTTTCCTGAAGATTGGAAATGCCAGGAAGCATGTACATAGAATTTAAAGTGCCTGACAGGAACCCTGAGAATCATATAGTAGAAAGGCAGGGCCATAATCTGATTGTAGAGACACAGGGAGTATGTGCTCAGTGAGAGCATTGACACTTCTAAGGCTTTTTCTGTTTGGGAGGAAAAGCCTCTATCCATCCTGTGAAAGTATCTACAAAGATAAGCAGGTATTTGAGGCCCTTACAAAGTGGAATACAGGTGAAGTGTAGTTGCCAGTCTTCACATGGAAAGGTCCCTCACCTCTGAATAGGTTGCAGGTGGGATGGTGGTTTGTCCACCATCAGGGGTAGTGAGACAACAGACAAGACACACTCTGGAGATGGACCTCAGAGTCTGGAGCATCCCTTCCCTTGTGAAGGCACGTTCAAGATGGTCATGTTGGGTATTGGCTCCAGGATGGCTAGACATATGAAGGCCTGGTAAACCTTCCATAGGGAGGATCCAGGCAGGAGGAGATGGTGGTCTAATCCCTGTAATCAACCCTCAGGGGTGCAGAGAATCCTTTAGGGATGGCCTCCTCAGTTTCCCTAGTTATGTTGCAGAGAGGGAGTAAAACTTCCTGCATAGATAGCCTGGCTGCCTCCTTGGCTTGTTTGTCAGCCTAACTGTTGCCCAGAGATGCCTTGTCTGTGGCTTTCTGGTGGGCTCTGCAGTGAATTATTGCACGTGAAGTTTGATGGCTTCTAGTAGGTTTATGAGCTCACAGGAGTGTTTGACTGGTTTTTTTTTGCTTGTTAAAAGTCCCCTTTCCTTCCAGATGGCTGTGTGTGTGTGTGTGTGTGTGTGTACTACATAGAAGGCATAGGCAGAGACGGTATACACAGTGACTGTTTTATTTGCCCCTAGTTGAAGAGCTTGAGGGCAATTAGCTCTGTCTTTTGGCCTAGAGATACCAGGCAGGGGCAGAGGTCTCAGTGACCTCTGAGCAGCTGACAATTGCATAACCAGAAAACTGTCTTCCATATTGGAGGAGGACTGACCCAGGGGGAGCTGTATTAGGGAACAATCCTTTGCTAAAGTCTGCCCAAATAATTGAGGGCTGTCCAAAATCCCTGGGGCAGGACTGTCCAGGTTAGCTTCTGGGCAACCTGAGAATCAGAGTCTCTTTACTTAAAGGAAGTAAGGATTAGGAATCTAGGTGTATAGGGATGCAAAAGAAGGCATTCTTTAAATCTAGGACTGTAAGCTAGGAATCTCCCATGGGGATTTGATTAGTAGGGTATATGGGCTAGGGACAGTTGGGGGGATAGGGAGAACTGTCACAATGATGGCCCTGAGATCTCCTGTCATCCTATAAAAGCCATCAATTTTTTCATTTGTTCGTTTTTATTTTTTTTTACTGCCAGGATGGAGGTGTTGCAAGGAAATTGCAAGGGACATTTAGACCAGCAGATAAAAATTTAGTAATGTGAGGCTGGCATCTTTTTTGGGCCTTTGACTTTAGAGGAAGTTGGGGGCACCTGGGGAAGAAACTGGGGTCTTTTAGAAGTATTTTGACAGGAATTGTAAAAAGCAAATGTCTAGGGAGTGTAGTGTCCCAGACCACAGTGGGAACTAGCTGAAGTATGAAAGAATCAATGGTCAGGGTGACTTGTGATTGTGGGGCTAGAAGGGACAGTCAAAGAGTATATTTACATGCATTTACCTGTGTTCTGGATACTAAAGCTGGTTCCTATCTTGGATAAGTCATCTCTGCTCATGAGCAGGATGGAACATGTAGGGAGTACCAGGAAAGAGTGAGTACAAACTCGTCTCCAGTGATCAGATAAACCGGGAAGAAAAGTGACTCTGTCAGGGCTGTCCATCTATTCCCATGAGGAGGATCAGGCCCTAAAAAGTGGGTCCAAGGAAGATAATGACATATAAACATATCTATAAGAAAAGTAATTTTATTGCCTGCCACATTCAAGGTTACACAGGACTCTTCTATGGAGTCAAGCTTCAGGTCTCCCCAGTCTGTGAGTTCCTCATACTCTGGAAACAGGGTCAAAGGTCTCTAGGAATTGGATGTCTGTGGGGATTCTGGACTTGGGATGACCTCTTCTCTTGGACAAAGAAGGGCAGTCCCATTTCTAGTGACCCTTCTGTTTGAAGCATGGGCATGAGCCATGCGGGGGACATGGATCTTGGCAGTTGCAACTGAAATGTTCCATCTGGCCACATTTATAGCAGGGTAGTGAGAATTGTGGGGAGCCTGTGTTGGCCTGGGATTAGCTCAACTAGATCTAGGGCTAGTATACAGAGCCTGAGGGCACCTGGAATGGAAAGGGAGTTGGCAGTTGCCTTGGCCATATAATCAGCCTGTTGCCTCTTTTCAGCCCTCTATGTCTCCTTTGAAGACCATGAAGGGTTTGAAGGCCATTTTTAGTAAGGTTGGGAGGAGAGTTTCGGGGTCCTGTTCCAGCTTTTTGGAGCTTTTGCTTAGGGTCTGGTGGGAATTGGCTGTAAAATATATGGCAAGAATTGCTAGATCCTCCGGTGTCTTGGGTTGTGGGGTGGTGTATTTGCGCATAGCCTCTCCTAGCCTGGAGTGAAAGAGGGCTGGATATTTGGTGGTGCTTTGAGTGATTTCCCTTAATTTATTGAAGTTAATAGGTTTAATCACGGCCCTATGCATGCCCTCCAAGAGACATGTGATCATATGGTCTGTTTGCTCTCTGCCCCTTGATCCTTCCTGGTAGTCCCACCTAGGGTCCTCTTTTGGGAGAGCATCTGTCCCAGAGGGACTGTAAGGGTTTCGTGTATGAGTCTCATCAACCCAAGTCTCAGCTAGTGACCAATTTCAGGACATTTCTTCAAGGGTACAACAAATGCTTAGGACAATCCTGATGTCTTGCCAAGAAAGATCAAAGGAGGCTGTTAGAGTTTTGAATTCCTTAATAAAGGTGGAGGGTCTTGGCTGCAAGAGCCAAGTGTGGCTGAGATATTATGCAGGTCAGACATAGGAAAGCAAATGTGCACCTGGACCGTCTAGTTTCCCATTTGCATCTTTGCAGAAAAGATGAAGTCCCTTTTTGGCTTTGTCCTGTTGTTGGGTATTAAATGTTTGTCCTGAGCTGGTTTGTGCAGGGTATAGAAGGTTGGAGTCACCTCTGTAAGGACGATGGCCCTGAGGGATCAGAAGGAGAAGGCTTAAGGGAAGAGCACTTTGTGTTTTATTTAATCTCATGTTTTGTTCATAGGCATACAAAATTCCTTACTAATGTTGCTAGTAAGTCAAATAATTGCCCTTCAAATAAAAGTGATTAAGGGTTACAAAGGTGGAAAATCAGCAATGGTCATTACTTGCTAGTGAGGCATGTTGGAACATGATATGGATGATCTTGAAGAACAAGAACAAAGTGATAAAGGCTTATAAGGATGTTCTTCATTGAAGACTGAGACCAAAAATTAGAGAAGGGCCTGTGTCAGACACAGAGACACTTCTGATGACCCGAATTAATGACCAGGCACAGAAGTGTCTCCCTGAAAGCACCATGCTGACCAACCAAAGCAAAAAGTTTGTGATATAAAGAGAAAATGTTAGACCTGACTATGATGTTGAATTTTCTGCTAGCTTGGAGTGGTTTAAACAGTTCAAGAAGTATTCATTCCATAATGTGACATTAAGTGGTGAGTCTGTGAGTGCTGATATGAAGGCAGTTTAAGAATTTTTGCAAACTCTAGCTAAGTTGATTATGGAGGGCCTTTGCTTTCCAGAGCAAATCTTCCATATTGGTGAAATCTGTTTGCACAATGACAAAATCGCTGACACAGCAATTAAGTGATGCACAGCTGGTTTTAATACCACTGAACTGTACTTGCAGAAATGGTTAAGATGGAACCAGATGCACATTTGTAATTCTAGCAACTCAGTAGGCAGAGATCAGGAGGATGATTGTTTGAGGCTAGCCTGGGCAAAAAGTTCTCAAGACCCAATCTCAAGCAATAGAAGCTGGACTTGGTGGCATGCACATCATCCCAGCTACAGAGGAAGTGTAGGATCACAATTCAGGCCAGTCCAGGCCAAAATGCAAGACCCTATTAGAAAAATAACTAAAGCAAAGAGAGTTGCTGGTGTGGCTCAAGTGGTAGAGTGCCTACCTAGCAAACATAAGGCCCTGAGTTCCAACCCCACTAGATAAAATGGTAAATTTTATATTACATGTACTTTATCACAAACAACTGAAAACAAAATCAATTGGCCCTAAGTGTACTGGTTTATTTAAGGACTCTCGATTTCATTTTCTTGTCCTCATGTTCATATGCCTTACCCTTATGTCAGTGCCACACTGTCTTGACTACTGTAATTTTGTAGTTAGTTTAGAAATCACTAAGTGTGAGACTTCCCACTTTGTACTTCTCACTAAAGATGTTGACTTTTCTGGGTTCCTTGAATTTCCATATGAATATCAAAATTGGCTTTTCAAATTCTTCAAATAAGTTAGATGGGATTTTGATGAAGATTTCATTGAATCGATAACAGGAGGAGCATCGCCATCTTAACTACATTCATGGTCCATGAACATGGAACAAGTTTCCATTATTTAGAGCTTAATTTCTTTCAAAAATTGTTTTCAGTGTTTCAGTGAAATTCACTTAAATTTCTAAGATTGTATTATTGTTACTGCATTGTAAGTGACCCCTAGGTGAATATTCCCTTGTTTTCTTAGTCATTTTTGGACTGTTAAGCTAGAGTATAGAAATCCAACTGATTTTTTTCATGTTGATACTGTTTTCTGTAATCTTGCTGAACCTATCTATCAGTTCTAATGGTTTGTTTTTACTTACTTGTTTATTTAGCAGTATTGGAAGTTGAACTCCAGCTTGTTAGGCTGGAACACTACCTCTTGAGACATTCTGCCAGGCCCAGTTCTAATAGGTTTTAAGTGTGTTCCTTAGGATTTTTTATATATAAGATTAAATGGTCTTCAAATATAGTTTTAAAATTTCTATCCAGTATGAATGCCTTTTTAAAATTCATTTGCATCCAACTATCTTCTATAATTAGCTGTATTACCAATTTTTGAAATTGCAATTGTATAGAGAAACAGTTTAAGATTGCTTTTCTTCCTGGGTTGTTTTAAAATATAAGGCCACTAAGAGTGCTTTATTTTATGGGGAAATAATTTTGTTTAAATTCAAAATTTTATAAAAATTATTTCAAAATGCAAATTAGAAATTAGAGACAAATCATCAAATTAGAAAGAAATATCAAACATATGGTGATGCTTTTGGATGAATAAAGGAGTTTGTAAAGTAAGCTTTATTTCAAAGAGTTGTTCCAAAATGAGAAAAATAGAGCAAGAAAACAGAAGGCTTAGAAATTTATGTAAAGTATATCTTAAAAATATATACAAGATGAAGCTTATCAAAGGTTTATATGCTTGATTAAATTGCTATAATTTAAAAATTGTCTAAAGAGTTTTCTAAGGTCAAAATTTAGTATACTGATGTAAAACAAAAACCTAATTTACTATGTCTATAATGACGAGGCTATCTTAGTATTAATCTGCTCTTAGTATCATTTGTAAGAAACTGGCTTTAAGGAAAGATTTTGTATTTTATCAAGATAATTCCATGTGTTTTCTGTCAACCTTCCCAAGCTTTTGACTCTTAGGAAACTAAACATTAACTGAAACAGAGTTCATTTAAGTATCTGTTCATGTGAAAGTCTTTTAAATGAAAATTGTGTGGTGAAACAAGCAACTATTATTTTAAGCAGTTCTAACACAATTAGTGTCCTATATGTCTGTGACTAGAAGTATGGTAGAGCTGAGCGTCTAAATTTTATCCAAATATTTTCCAAACAGAAAATTAAATGTGTTTAAGTTTAATACATGTAAAATGATCATCTAATGCTCTTAATTCAAAGTGCATGACATCCTAACCTTCAAAATATGAAAATGGTCAATGAAAATTTTGTTCATAATAAGTAAAAATCAGGGGAAAAATCTGTCATTTGGGCAATCTGCTATTTAAAATGTGGCCTACAATTATTTGTCTTAACCAAATTAATGTTACTTTATATCTGAGATGTACTATTTGGGATCACTGGCACTGTCTCCCTAACTTGTAAGAGATCTACAATTTTGACTTTTGTCAGTGTTATCTACCTATTCAAACATCCTAAATTTTACTCTACAGGAAAAAGCTAAATTAAAATGTATATATGACATCTGTGTAGCTGTCATGATAATTGTTGCTTTTGCCTTTGTGTATTAAATGTATTTATGTTCCCCAAATACATAAGCCTTCTAAAATGCAACACTTAGGAAGAAACTTTACCCAGCAGGTGTCCTCCAAATTAAAATTGCTAGAGATGTTAGCTTTTTTGCAGCCTCATGTCCCTGCATTCCTAATTGTAACAAGGAACATGTACTGTTACTGATGTAATGCTGTCAATCATAATTATCATAAAATGCTGTATGCAAAGGAAATAATTAGATGGTTCTGTCAATTGCTGAACTTTTTTTCAAAGTTTTAACCATGGCTATTCTAAGTCTTGTCATTCAGTCTGGGACCTTCTTTGGAGCATTTGCACTTAAACCCATATAAAATGACTCTAGCAAGTACTTACTTATTGAGTCTTTTAAATATTTGCTTTCGCCAGTTTTGTTTTATATGCCCTCAATCCCAGCTCGTCAAGAGGTGGAGATGGGTGGCTCAGGGTCTGAGAGTGTCCTGGGCAAAAAAAGCACAAGACTCTATCTGAAAGACAAACTAAGAACAAAGGGATTGAGTGCATGGGCACAAGTGGCAGAGCATTTGCCTGGCAAATGTGAGGTCCCAAATTCAATCCTAGTCTGGCCGGTGGGGGGTGGGGGAGGAAAGCCAAAAAAAGACTTGCACTCATACTTAGCAACTGTTTTAATATTTTAACTTACTTACAAAAGACTCAGATGAAACACTTATCACATTTTATATATATGTATTTTTGTGGTACTGGGGTTTGAACTCAGGGACTCACACTGCTAGGCAGGCACTTTACCACTTGAGCCACTCTTTTAGCCCTTTATTTCACTTTTTAACAGTTACTTTTAGATTATTCATGAAATTTAAGACATTAGACAAGTGTAATAAATACCTTAAGTCATTTATTTGCCAAAGGAGAAAAAATTGCTGTATTTGAAACTTAGGGAAAGACAAAGCAATGCAGTAATATAAATTTACCAGGTCTATGGACATACAGTTAGTCCAACTAATAGTTATGATAAATTGAAACAAGCTGAGGCCAGTTTTTTTTCTTTTTCTTTTCTGGCGGTTCTGGAGCTTGAACTCAGGGCCTACCTCTTCAGTCACTCCATCAGTCCTTTTTTGTGTTGTTTTTGAGATAGGGTCTCATGAACTATTTGCCCTGGTTGGCTTCAAACCTACCTCCTGAGTAAGTAGGATTACAGGCATGAGCCACCAGCACCCAGTGATGCAAGCTTTGAATCAAATTTTTATAGCAGTAAATTAAAAAGTACAGGCATGTTTGCTCACACCTGTAATCCTAGCTACTCAGGAGGTTTATAGTTGGGGAGGTTTGCAGTTGGAGACAGCCCAGGCAAAAAGTTAGCAAGACCCAATCTCAACCAGTAGGAAGCTGGGCATGGTGGTTCATCCTGTCATCTCTGCCACGAGGAAGCATAGATAGGGGATCTAGGTTGAGGCCAGCACGGGCCTAAGTACAAAAGTGCTGGGGCACGACTCAAGTGGTGAGTGCCTGGCTGGCAAGAGCAAGGCCCTCAGTTCAGACCCCAGTATTGCCTTCCCTCCAAATATGTAAAAAACCCCAAACCCCTGAAGGTTCACAAGAAGCCACAGCTGACTGAAATAAAGTGACAAGAAGAATGAGGCCAGGTGTGCAAAACCAGCAAGAGTTTACCAGATAAACTTTGGACCGATAGATTGTAAAGCATTCTTTTTTCCCATTTTATCACAGATGGCACTGGCTGAAAGGGAAAGAAAGGAAGAGTCCCAAAACAAAACTAGGTTTCATAGCTGCAAGGGCTGTTATTAACCCTTCCATTTGGGACCAGTTAGCTCTGAGCAAGAACTCTCTGAGTACTGACTCCAAAAGGTGCCACCAGATTGTTACCACTGGGTGGTCTTAGAAAACCCTGGATGAGAAGATCTCAAGTCTTTGGCATCCCAAAGAACTGGACAGACACTCACAGATTACAGTGTAGCAGCAGAGCTTTATAGAGCATGTGAGAGAGAGCACACTGTCCAAGGAAGGCAAGGAAGCAGGCTCCGAGTGAGGTGGCTTGTGAGCCGCACTTGTTAGCTCAAGAGCACCAGTGCTTTGGTTTGGGTGAGTATTTATACACTACAAGGAGTGAGCAAGGTGAAGAGATTTGGGTGGTACTTAGGAGTGGCTTTTAGTGATTGACTGCACATGTGAATTCATTGAAGTATAATTAGGGGCCTTTTTGTGCATGCCCCAGTTTGGGTCCAGATGCAAATGCTGTTTCAAAGGAGGCATTTTGCGGTGGTTCTGGGTGGGGTTAGATCACTTGTTCCTCATGAGAAGATCTGCAAGGAGGCCACCTGTTCCCCATGACCTGGTTTGGGTACTGTCCCTACATTTCCTGCCTCGTTTTCCCCTGAGAGAGAAAACCCCAAGAAATTAGAGTTGCTTCAGGATAGGTGGTCATCTTCTGTGTTTTCTTCTAAGCTGGCAAGGGGCTGCAGATCCTACCTATCAGGGAAGTTGTCTCTCCTACTTCTTTCCCTCGGGACTTGCCAGGCCACCGGGTGGTCCTCATTTGAATCTTCATCCAGCATGATGAAGGTTGCTCATGGGGAGTTTGTCTGTTTGCACAGGATGGTAGTCTTGCTGCATCAGAACTTGCAGAAGAAATGAAATGGGTAAAGAAATTTTAAATGCATGGGACAAAGCACAACTCTAATGACATTAAAATCAAAGGGACTAGAAATGGGAGAAGCCAGATAAAAATGCTATTTCCTAATGAAGACAGGAGGTTGGACAGTCAACTGCTGTCTACACCTGCTTCTTTATTAATAAACCCTGATGTTTTTCTTGAAACCAGATGAACCATATCAGGAATGTTACCAGGAGTAGGAGTTGTAGGCAAGGGCCCCACTGGCATTGTGGGAGAGAAATGAAGGAAGTAAGCATGACTTACCTTTTAAGCTGAAGCTTTTTTATCTCTCCAGAAGAGAAGTTTCAGGTCTTCTATCAGCTCCAGGAGTAAGTGATCTCAGTCACCTTGGTCAAAAGAAGGTTCCTCTGTCACAAGCTTTGTCCTGGAAAGATGAATCCAACTATCCATTCCTTGCACTTTGATGGCTCTGGGAGTGGCCATGATCACTGGATAGAGACTCTTCCATTTGGACTGGAGTTGGTCAGCTGGGGTCCATCCTTCTAGGTCTTGATCAACACCTATTCTCCCAATTCATTTTCTGAGTTTTCTCTCTTTTGTTGGGGGAACCTTATTTCCCAACTCCCAGATTGCTTGTTGCAATTTCCCTAGATCTATTTATATATGTTGAGGAGACTGTCAGTCTCAGGGTCCATCACTAAGTCATTGGCCTCCCATAGAGCATTTCAAAGGGGGTTCAGATGGATCTTAGCCTATGGTGTATTTCTCATTCTCAGCTGGGCAATAGACAGAAGTTTTTCTAGAGGTCTTTTGGCAAAGCTTGGCCAAGGTTTGATGGTTCCTTTCCACCTTACCAGAGGATTGGGGCCTCCAAGCTTGAATGTAAATGATATTTAATTCCCAAGGTCTGAAGGATCCAGTTGGCTTATTCTCACTTGAGGTGTCCAGGGTAGGACGAATCTAAAAAATAATCTCTTTTAGAAGGACCTTTGCCACCTCAGAGGCTTTTTTTGTCCATGTGGGAAAAGCTTCAATCCATCCTGTAAAAGGATACTAGCAACTTCTTATATCCTTAGTAAAGGGGGCATGTGAATGAAATCTACCTCCCAATCCTATCCCAGGTAAGTGCCCCATTCTCTGGATTGGATCAACCAGTGGGGGAATCTTTGGACCAGAATTGTTATAAAAGCACAGGAACAGCTTTGGCAAACCTGCCTGCCAAACTGTAGATTTTATTCCAGTTCCCCGAAACAACCAATTAGCCCCTGGGTTGCATCTTGGTCCAAGTTGAAAGTATCATGTATAGATTTTTATCACCTTTCATTGGATTGCTTGAGGCAAGATTAACTTACCATCTGTGCGCCACCCATCAGGGCAGCCTCCTTTTCCTTATCAGGAGTACATTTGAGATCTGCAGGCTCCCGTGGAGGGAAGAGTGCCAGAGCAGAGATCAGTGAGACATCTAGAGGCCACAGACTTGCCTGTTTAGCCTCTCAGTCCACCTGATTGTTTCCCTGCAGTTCTAGGATTAAATCTTTCTGATGTCCCTAGCAGTGGATCATTACCACCTCCTTAGGTAGGCGACAAGCCTCCAATAGCTGAAGGATTTCCTTTCTGTGTTTTATTGGGAATTGCCTTCCTGAGAGAAGTCCCCTTTCCTTCCATATAGCTGCATGAGCAGGCAGTACTAGGAATTTATCTTTTGAAGTGGTTGAAGTGTTAAGTCTTCGTTTCTTTCTCCAGAGTTAGGGCTTTAGTTAAGGCTATCAGTCCTGCTTTTTGGGCTGAAGTCCCGGCCAGCAAGGGCCATGCTTCAGTGACTTCCTCTTGGCTCACCACTCCATATCATGCCTTTCTTTCCCAATTTAGCACACAACTACTTCCAACAGTAAGCCAATCATCCTTGGGTTGAGGAGTGGCTTATCTGCCCCGTCTGGCCTGCATGCATCAGTTTGTATCATCACCTGCTCACAAGTGTGCTTGGACATCAGTTCAGAGGGCAACAAAAATGCAGGATTTCGGATGCTACTGGTCTTTATGATCCCTTTGGGGACTCTAGAAGGATGGCTTGATGTTTAGTTAATGTCTCCCTGAACATCCACAATTGGCCTTTTGGTTCCAATGTGGCCCTTCTCTGATGGGGGAGTAGGTCCTGTAGTGGTCTCCTCCACTTGGAGGGAAGTGGCAGCTATTGCCCTCAGGCATCCTGGCCAACCCAGGGCTATTCCATCCAACCTCTTAGGCTACTGGACGAGTTTCTGACCCTAGCTTCTGAGTTAGGACTTCTACTGCAGTTCTTTTTATTCTGATACATATACAAAAGGGAATTCCTAGGGCTGGGGCCTCAGCTAGGGCCTTTTTAAGGGCCCTGAAGGCATTAGCTGTTTCTCCAGTCCATTAGCAGGACTGTGTCCAATTTTCCCATTATATCCTGGCCCAAACGTGGAGTGGGGCATCCGGGGACTCTAAGAAATCTACGCACAAAGACTTGAGTCTCAATATGGCAAGGCATGAGGGGTGAAATTTCTAACCCTATTTTTTCCAGTGGCCCTCATTGCAATCATGGTCTGGGAGGAAGGCTTTCCCGCATAGGTGGAAAGACTAGAGTATGTTGTTGCCTCATATCCAATAGAAAATTAATTTGCTTACCCAAGACATTCAAGGCTACCTGAGATTTCTCATAACGATGATTTTAGGTGGGGCATATAGAAAGCGCCTCAGGGCTCCTCACTTGTGTTCAGCTTCTGCAATGCAGCCAGAGTCTTCACTGGCTGAACCCCTCTCTGCAAGCACGGACAGTCAAACCTCTAGTGCCAAGAATCCCCTCCTTTTCTGTAGCAGTTGAGATAAGGGGTGAGAGGTAGCTCCAGGCGTTCCCTAGCAAAATGTGCCAGGTTCTTGCATTTGTCACAGGTTGGCTTCTTGGAATTGCTGCCTCTCCCACCTAAACATGCCTGAAGGGTGAGTACTGGCATCCCCAATCATGGCAGTCACAACTGTGACTGTATTTCTCTCCTCCAATCCTTCCAGATTGTCATAGTCTGGAAAAGCAGCATCTAGCAGCTGGGTCTTATTAGTCTGAGGTTCCAGCTGTAGTTCTGAAGCTTCCGCCTGATGTCTGGGGCAGAGTGAGCAATAAAACGATGGCTCAGAAGGGCTTCTTCTTGTCTGGAGGAAGGATCGGTACTGGTGTATTTTCTAAAGAATTCCTCCAGCCTATCATTAAATGATACAGGGTTTTCTTTCTCTTCCTGAGCAATTTCTCTAACCTTACAATAATTAATAGGTTTAGCAATTCCTGATTTCATGCCCAGGAGAATTTCTTGTATGATGTTAGCTGTCCTTCGTGTCATCCTCTGAGTGTTTTAGTCCCAGGTAGGTTCATTTTCAGGGACAGTATCAGCCCGTGGCTGATGAGTCCAAGACTCCCTGACATCTGCCTCATTACAGGAAGAAGTGAGAATTCTTTCTTTTTCTATGGGGTACAAAATTGGCCAACAGGAAGTGACTCTCTCTCCAGGACGGATTGAAAGCCAATGTCAGGGTCCGAAACACTTATGCAAATGTATCTGGGCCCTCAGGATGTATCTCCAGTTTTTCTTTGCATTGTTGGAAAAAGGTACTTGCACCTGAATTGGGCCCTCTGGCCCTGCTGTCTCTGGCGGTGGGAACTAGCCTTGGGAAGCCTCCAAGGAAAGTGTTCTGCTTTGAGTAGGTGGGGGTCACATGAACGGTTAGAGTGCAGAGGAAGGATTACGGTAAGGAGGAGGGTGTCCCCCGAGAGTCAGGTGTCGCTCCCTTAGCATGTGGGGAGCAGATTCTGAGAAGCCTATGAGAACTTGACATAAGCACATTGTGCTCAGTGATCTACAGGCTGAGTTTGGCATGGCCCCAGCTGCAGAGGGGGTGAAGGCAAAATGCAGCACAGCTGCTTTTTTAAGTTGTTTACATTCAGAGAAGTAGAACACAGGTTTCTCTTGTTACAATGTCATACCCCTCCCTGAGAACTGTTGCTCCCTCCTCCTTTACCACTGGATGTAAAACACTGGCTGAAGTAGGACAAGAGGTTTTTTGATGGGGGATGGATGGATTGGTTGGCTGCTTGCGAGAAGCGGAAGCTATTGCCAGGGCAAGGACTGCCACTGAATGATGCAGCTGGCTGCTGCTGCTGCTGCTGCTGAGTTATGCTAGAGATTAGAGGAAACATGGGACAGTGCAAGTCTGAAGGATGAGACTAAGAGAGATTAAAGATAACATGGGACAGAGCAAGTCTAAGGAAAGAGACTTTAAAGAATAGAAAAGAAGTAAGATTTTAAAGAAAGACTTTAGAAGTAAGTTTAAAAGTATAAGAGAAAAGAAGTAAAAGAAGAGTTAATAGAGAAAAGAAGCAACGAGGCTGCTGTGTGTCTCCATCCAAGTGCCTAGCACACTTAGCTTCAACTTTCTGCATGTCTGTCATCTATCATTTGTCCTTTCTGCATCTCTAGTCACCCCCACTTAGGTCAGAGAACAGGAGCTCACTGGAAAGCTCACTACATTAGTAGGACATCCACATCCTCCATTTTGTTTCCCCATTTTGGGCCTGGGGGGGTCCCCCTACAAAGAGAAGGGTCTTGATATATGGTCATAAAGGCTTGGACTTATGCCACTTCTTACCATTTTCCTTCTCTCTTACAATATAAATAACTGTAAGGTAAGATTATAATTGAAGCTCCCATTCTTGGGCCACTTTTCTTGACTCCCCAATTGGTATTGGGGCCAAGCTACATTACAGTAGAAGATAAAGTGTTTCATTTTCAGATTATCAGGATTTAAAAGATGCCAGTGTTTAAGGAAACAGCCAAGCAGAGAATCTGTTGGGATAGATGCATTTGTCTCATTTTGATCTGCAGAAAGAATGAAGGGGAAGAGAGAGAAGAAATACAACATTAAGGAGGTAATGAGGCTGCTACTTCAAGAGCCATTGGGGTGGCCCATGATGGTCCTGGGAGTCCTGGTGGGGGGAATTGGGAGCAACCCCTTTTTCCTCCAAACTACAGCCTGATGTCTCTGCCTCTGGAATGGGCGTTGACACAGTTAAATTCTTTTGGCTGCCTCCAAAGGCTGGATCTAATCTGCAGCTGTCTGATCCCTGGATGGAGAACTTGACTCTGGACTTCCACTGTTTCAGGTATGTGTGGTGAGACAAGGTCATAGCTATGTGCCAGGTGACCAAGACAAATGAGTGGAAAGTAAAGAAATCTGTCTCAGTAAAAGCAGGCTCATTCACCAAAAATGTAACCAATGTATGGTCTCAGAAGACCCTGATCCAAAAGATTTCAGGTCCTTGACATCCCAAACAAAGAATTGGACTGAGATACATAGATTTCAAAGTAAAAGCAGTTTTACTGAGACAGAGTAAGTGAAAGCAGAAAAGTACACTCCCAAACAAAGGCAGGGAGTGGGCTCTGGTGAGATGGCTTAAGAGCAGCACCTGGACAGGTGCTGGTGGTTCACACCTATAATTGTAGCTATACAGGAGGCAGAGATCAGGAGGATCATGGTTTGAAGCCAGCCTGGGCAAGTAGTTTACGAGACCCTATCTCGAAAAATCCATCCCCAAAAAAGGGCTGGTGGAGTGGCTCAAAGTGTAGGCCCTGAGTTCAAACCCCAGTGGTGGGCGGGGTGGAGGGGAAGCAGCTCAAGAGCGTCAATAACTTGGTTTGGAAAGAGATGTATTCACTACAAGGGGTGAGCAAGGGGAGATTTGGTTGGTTCTTACGAATGGCTTTTGGTGACTGACTGCACATGTGAATTCAGTGAGTTAAAATTAGGGGTCCTTGTGTACATACCATAGTTTGGGTATGGATGCAAATACTACTTCAAAGGAGGCATTTTGGGGTGGCTTTGGTTGGAGTTCGATCACCTGTTCCCTATGAAATGCTCTGCAAGGAGGCCACCTGTTCCCCATGACCTGGTTTGGGTACTGTCCCTATATTTCCTGCTTCAATTCCATTCCTATGGGGTCTGCCAAGTTCTGTAACCAGAGTGCCACCTCCACCCCTGGCCATAAGGCCTGATTCTGGGTTAGGATACCCACCTGCATTAAGAGAGAAGAATATAATATGTATTAAAGGGGAAAATGAATTTATTTACAACATTGGGCAAAACTGGAGACAGAACTTCTCATTCTGTCTCCATCTTGCTCATAGCAGTGTCACACTGCAAAAAAGAAACAAGAGCCAGGAAGTACACATGTGCAGTTTTAACTGTAAGCCCCAGTTACCCGAACTGACAGTTTTTCTCCTGGTACAGGGTTCCTGGGGTGAGCATTTTCAGCATGGAATTTCCTGCAGGTATCCTGATTCCTAGGGACTCCTTTACTGGGGATTGAACTTGGGACCTCATGCATGCTAGTCAAGTGCTCTGCTACTGAGCTACATCCCCAGTCCTGCCCTCTACTTCTTAACTTTCATGTTAGGTGTATAAAGGCGCCTGCCATTATTTTTTATTCTTTTTATATATGCACCCATACATATATGTTTCATTTTTATAAAATAAAAATCTTACAAAAATGTTTAATAGAAACTGTCCCAGAGCAACCCAGTTCAAGTGCATGAGAATGAGCTTGAAGGCACCATGAGACTGAAGGAAGAGAAATAGATCCAGAACAGTTCAGAATGCAATTTATTAGGGGACTTAGTGATGGAAGAATCACAGTTTGGGTCAGAAGAAGTGTTTATGTTAGTTGGGACAAAAGTGGCTTTATCCAAGCCAGAATGCATCTTCTGTATCCTAAGCTAACATCAAAGAGTCAGGCACATTCCAGACACCAGGGTCTGGTTGCCAAGTTCTACCGGTTTTATCCAGTTACACTCTGCTAGGAAACTGTGGAGTAAAATCTGGTAGGTGTCACTCTGGGGCAATCATGGTGGCTACCACTCCAGATGGCTTCAATCATGTCAGGCTTAATCCATACAGAAACAAAGAGGACTATATCTGAAACAGTTAAGTGAAATGAAAATGCTTTTTCTTTTTCTTTTCTTTCAGTACTGGGAATTGAACCCAGGGTCTCGGGCTTGACTCTACCACGTCAGCCATGTCCCCAGGCCATGAAAATGCTTTCAAAGACAGCCCCATTCCCTCTCAGGAGTCTCTGCACCATGCAAATGTGATCAGCAGCAGACACTGTACCAACTGAACTTGATCAAGCTATTCCAGGTGATTGAAACAGGGGACCACAACTACATCGTATGGAACATACCAGTAGGGGGAGCTCCTGCAGTATCTGACAGGCCTACCCCCTGTGAGAGGATGAGCCTGGAAGCACACTGAAACAGATCCTGTGTGCCACAAAATACTGCTACAAGAAAGGCACTGCATACAGAGACCTGAAATTGAACAACATCCTGCTGGACACCCAAGGAAACATCAAGGTGACTTTGGCATTAGCACCGTGTTTTTGGGTGGGCAAGAGCTGACAGGTGTGTGTAGTGCTTTTGCATTCTGAGCCACCTATATCTTCCTATGCCACAAGTATGATGGTCTGAGTATCCTACAAGATCATGGAAAACTTACCATTAAATGGAGCACCTTTGTACAGCTATGGGAGCATTTCCTGCAACCAACTATTGACCATCTATAAGGAATTGCAAAAAAAAAAAAAATCATCATTTAGGGCTTATCGTCAGACTTAGTAAGAGGCCCACTCTGGAGCTTATCATGGAGCACCTGTGACTCAGTCAAGGTGAGGAAAGTTCACAGATTCCTATTAGGACACTGCTCAAATACTCAGACCTTAAAATCCTGGCCTCCATGTCTGAGCTGGATTACAACACAGTGAAGAGATAGGCAAGTCTCAGAGAGAAAATTCAATGAGGAGTGGCTGTATACCTCATGCTGAAGCAGCAGAAATGCCAATGAGTTAGCTGTGCCATCAATGTTATGCAGCAGTAGGTCCTGCACCCAAGGTGTGACCTACCATCTTACCTCTTAAGGAACTGGGAAACATCATCCTTAAAGAGGTCCACTCTGGAGCACATAATGGGGCGCCTGTGACTCAGCTAAGGTGAGAAAAGTTCACTTAGTCCTTCCACCGGAAGTGTCCCCAAACACCCGGCCCTACAAACCTGGCTTCTAGTCGGACTTAAGTTACAACTCATGTGAGAACCTTGAGTCTCCATTACAGACAATTCATGAGGGAATGGCCACATCTCTCAGGCTGGGAAAGCACACATGACAGAGGCTAAGTTCACTGTCCACATCGTGAGACAGCAGGTCCCGTACCCAAGGCATGACCTATCATCTCACCTCTCTATGGAACTGCAAAATACCATCACTCAATTACTCACCCTGAACCCTAGCAAGAGGCCCACTCTGGAGCAGTTCATGGGGCACCTGTGACTCAGTCAAGGTGAGGAAATTTCAGTGAGTCCTTCTATCAAGACAGTATCCAAACACCAGCGCCCTACAACCTTGGCTTTCATTTCTGACCTCAATAACAACTAATGTGAGATATGAGAGACTCAATTAGAGGGCAAGTTGAATGAGGCAATGGTCACAAACCTCATAGAGTGAAATCACATGCTATGGGGTTAGCTGCACCATCTATGTTAATAGGCAACAGGTCCTGCATCCAAGGAATGACCTACCATCTTATCTCTTAAGGAACTGGGAAACATTGTAATTCAAGAGGCCTACTCTGGAGCACATAATGGGGCACCTGTGACTCAGTCAATGTGTGGAAAGTTCACTGAGTCCTTCCATGGAAAAACTGCCCAAACGTCTGGACCGTACATACCTGGTCTCCATGTCTGACCTGGGTTACAACAAATGTGAGATCTGTGAGTCTCTATTAAACAGAAAATACAATGAAGCAATGGCAACATACCACATGCCAGGGGTTT